TCTCTCTCTCTCTCTCTCTCTCTCTCTCTCTCTCTCTCTCTCTCTCTTTCTTTCTCCTCTCTCTCTCTCTCTCTTTCTTTCTTTCTCCTCTCTTTCTTTCTCTTTCTTTCTTTCTTTCTTTCTTTCTTTCTTTCTCCTCTCTCTCTCTCTCTCTCTCTTTCTTTCTTTCTCCTCTCTCTTTCTTTCTTTCTTTCTCCTCTCTCTCTTTCTTTCTCTTTCTTTCTTTCTTTCTTTCTTTCTTTCTCCTCTCTCTCTCTCTCTTTCTTTCTTTCTCCTCTCTCTTTCTTTCTTTCTTTCTTTCTTTCTTTCTTTCTCCTCTCTCTCTCTCTCTCTCTCTCTCACACACACACACACACTTAATCCCTTGCAGAGTTTTTTTTTCTATTCTGTGGAACTGATTCACCTGATTTCCTATTCTGGTTTTATTCTTCCAATAGGAGCAGCGTCTAAAAGAGCTTGCAAAGAAACCCCACACATCTTTCACCACAGCCTCTTCCCCTGTGTCTAATACTGCAGGAAGTATAATGACCACACCAGCTATTGATATTTTTTCCACACCCAGTTCTTCAAACAGGTAAGATTCAGAAGAGCTGTTCTGCCAGGTGTTAGTCAGGGAAATGCCAGACAGGCCGAAAGCCAGGGGTGGGTGACTTTGGGCTAGTCCTGGACTAGGCAACCTTGGCTCTTTTAAGACTTGTGGACTTCAATACCCAGAATTCCTGAACCAGCCATGCTGACTCAGGAATTCTGGGAGTTGAAGTCCACAAGTCATAAAAGAGCCAAGGTTGTCTACCCCTGGGCTAGTCACAATCTCTCTGCCCGATTCACCTCACAGGGTTGCTGTTGTAGAGACAGTAGGAGGGGGAAAAAGGTGTATTGCAGGGGTCTCCAACCCCGGTCCTTGGACCGGTACTGGGCCACAGCATGCCAGCAACCGGTCCACGCAAACAAGCAAAGCCCCATCCGTGGGATGCAGGCAACACACAAAACCACACCCCCTCCGGTCCGTGGAAAAACCTCTCTCCACGGAACCGGTCCCTGGTGCCCAAAAGGTTGGGGACCTCTGGTGTATTGGATATGTTGACCAAGTTATTTGTAAAAAAAATAAAGTGGAATACAATACATAATAAATAAAAATGTAAATGTTCGTTTGTTCAAAATCTTAAATCTCCGAAAGTTCTTCACCGATTGCTTTGAAATTTTGACACGACGTTGCATTCAAATACGTGCGTGTTTTTATATACCTACTATTATATAGATGCCACACCTGTGTTAGATAAAAACATGCTTTTTTTGAAAAACAGCGCCATCTGTTGGACGTAAAAGCAATACATGCTTTTACCAGACTGAGCCACAGCAATGCGTGGCTGGGTACAGCTAGTAATAAATAAAAAAGGTCATAGCACCATTCCCCACCCCCTGAAGTACATTGCAGGAAGAGGTTTTTGGCCCAGAGGGGATACTAAAATGCTGTTTTGTAACGTGGAACTATGAGTGAAAGTGTCCTTTGGGAATAGCGGCCTCCTTGAGTCTGATGAGCTACCTCTTTAGTTTCTGACTTTGGTTTACCAGGTAGTGAATTCTGTATCCAGGCCCCATCCTAGGTGTGTTCACAGGGGCTGTTCTGAAGAGCTCCTTAAATGGAAGCAGTGGCGCTGCTGTTTTAAATATTTACAATGCTCTTCTCTGTGTTATTGTTTCTGTAGTTCATCCAAGCTGCCAAATGACTTGCTTGATTTACAGCCAGCTTTTCATCCAGGTGTGCATCCAATATCCTCTGCACCACAAGTGGGAGGGACCTGGGGAGGTAAGAGATTTTGTTGTGATTATAATAATAATAATAATAATTTAATTTGTACCCCGCCCTTCTCCTCACCGGACTCAGGGCGGCTAACAGCCTTGTAAAACCACAATACAATAAATATCCATTAAAACCAAATTAAAAGAAAATATTTGAAGCGGCCAATCGTTAAAATTAACCTTTAAAATACCCTTAAAAACCCCACTAAAATTCCCTAGGCCAG